TTTTGCTTTCTCTCTCTCTCTCTCTCTCTTTCTTAATTTCCATATATATATATATATATATATATATATTATTATATAATAAATATACTTATATTTCTTTACGTGTATTACAATAATCTTTGTTTGTATGTATGACTCACTCTTAATATACATAGTTTTTGTTGAAACAACAAAATACTAGAGTAGAAAAATAATTTAGTTTTCATTGATGATAGCAAGCTATAGATATGCTACTGTATACGAGAGAGAGAGAAAGAGAGAGAGAGAGAGAGAGAGAGAGAGAGAGAGAGAGAGAGAGAGAGAGCACCGTTAGATGCCTTTAACCAAATTAGTAGTGTCTCCTAAACACGCAATGATAACATCACATTTATATATATATATATATATATATTGTCTCCAATATCTAACACAATATAATATAACTGTTGTGTCAAACATTACAGAAGCTAAGGAACCGTCAGTAAAGAGGGCGTTCAATATGTCATTGAGTTGAGACCCCATACGCCACAGTCATATCACTATTATATTAATACATTTATAAATTGTATTTTCAAAATAAAACACACATTTCTCTATTTCCAAACACTGAATGTCTAATAATAATCATAATATGATATAATATAATCATTATTACTATGATTATGATTATAGCTTTAGCACACAAATGTCATATAATATATGATGAGTGCATTAAACTTTACTTTTAGTCTTATATATGATATCTTTAAATATTTATATTTAAATAAAATTAGTAATAATAATATATATTTTTAGTTTTTATATTAAAATAAATACTTGATTTTTCAATTAAAATATTATTATTAAAAAATAAAATTAAATACAAATTAGAAGTTTGTTAATAAAGTTAATAAAAATTCTTATAAATATTTATTATATTTTATAAAATGTATATATTATAATTTACTACTAAAATTATTTATTCAATTTAATATTTTTATATCTATAATACTTAATATAAAATACAATATTATAATAATATCTGCTTATATACAGTAATTTTGTTTAAAAATTTATATTATATAAAAACTAAAAATAAAATATATAAATAAATATTATTAGCTGAAAAACTTATCTTAAATTAGATATATTTGTTTAAATATTTATTTTTGTAATTTAACTTTAAATAAAACTACTTATTTTAAATATAAAACACACATAAAAATAATAATATATAAATTATATTAATATTTATATAGTAATATAGTTTGAAGTATAAAATATCTTATATCTTATATATATATACTGTATATATATATATACTCTTATATCACATAAACTATATTCAAATACAATATTTTAAAAATACATTTAAAATTCAATATACAGTATACTGTAGTATATATATATAGTATAAATTTATATTGAATACAACAACTAATAACAGAATAAAAAATAAAATAAGAATAAGAATATGTAAATATAAATACAAATACAAAAATATTATTAAATTTTGTAAAAAGAAAATGAATTTATAGTTTCATTTACAGTGAAAGAGACGACAGTTCCAGTGTAAAGGCTAAACATATTATCAATACATATGTGTGAATGTATTGAACGGTATGGTTGGTGTTGTATGTGTGTGTGTGTGTGTGTGTGTGTGTGTGTGGAGTTGACCGACAATCATATCTATTATACATTAGGTATGAGTATATATACATTACTTATATATATATATGTCGTGTGAGTTGTGAATTGAAAAAAGTATAGAAATATACAAAAGTAGTGTATATTTTGCTCTGAATTTTAATCTAATGTCAACACACATAACGGTGTACACGATATGTGTCCGCAAATAGAGAGTGAGTGAGAGGACTGTTAGATCACTCATACTGTATATACATAATAATAATATATATACTATACATACACTGTAATAATAAAAGTGTGTAAAAGAAGTGAAAATGATTACTATGTTTGTATTAAATCAATCTTTTATGAAAAGCGACTGCCATTGCATTACTATTAGGGACAGGGAGTCAGTGAGAGGGAGGGGAGAGAATGAGAGTATGCTATTCGGAAAGGGCTAGTAGTGTGTGTGTGTGTGTAGTGCAGGTAATACTCTTGGGATACGATATCAAAACAGGGACTGGAAATACAGTTTTGGAGAAAATTATATACGAAAGAGAATTGTTAGCCAAAAATTTTTAGTGTAGATTCTGGTGAAGAAAAAAAACTTTTTTTTTGACAATAATCGACCAAAATTTGATTGCTATTAACGCCACCAATGTTTATGTACTAAACATTTATATACAGTATATACTGTACACTACCCGCTAAAATGTAGTGTTATGTATACATCAAATCAATTTTTTGTGTGCCTTAACATCGATTCATCATTAGTTTGATGGTGACGGCGGCCATGTGCTGTTCCCAGTCTATCAAAAACGATAAGTGCCCGAACGGCAGTTCAGCGTTACCCGTACAGAGCACTGGTAGTGTACATAAAACCCTAACAGTGCCGATCGGCAAGAATAATTTGATTGACTCATTCATCACAATCTTTTATATACTGTATATATAACACACAGAAAATTATATATAATTCAATGTATATTTGACACACAATATTATTGCATTAGTGTAAATTATATACTGTATATTATATATATAAGTTTAGGTACATTTTTACAGCCATTGATAATATGACTGTATATTATTCAACATTGTTTTTTATTTTGAATACTACAGTATATACTAGAATATTCAAAATAATTATTATTGCATTTAATTGATTGCCTCTATAGTGAAACACATACAACTTTACCGTATAAATTATATTTTTAGTAATTGAGATATACGTACGTATGTAATCATAAAACATAATTAATAGTAATATGAACCCCAATGATATAGAAAAAAATTGTGGTACTCTTTTATGCTATAAATATATAGATCATTACTGGGCTCAGGGATACGTCAAGTCCATTATACATATATATATGCCAGAAGCTCATCAATAATTAAGTGGTGACTCAACTTATACAGTATAGTCCAGTGAAAATGCAATGAAATAACTTATTCATTGATTTCGCTTGTTTTGTGTGCCATTAAATGGTTTGTGTTTTATTTATATTCATTGCCATTATTATTATTATTGCATTTCAAATATATGATTTATTTTCTATAAAAACAGAGACCATAATATTTTTTATAAAGCATTGATTGCATATACATGTCACACATATTTATAATTTCAGTATTTTTTTAGGAAAAATAACTTTTTTCACTTATTAGTACTGTATTTTGTAGTAATAGTAGTGTAGATATTTATACAGTATAATGTACTATAACAAAAATGTTAACTAAACATATAAGCGACAAATTATTTGACACAATTGAATTATGTTCACAAAATTAGATTCAAATACTAACAATCAAATCAAAACGCATATTAATATTTTGTGTGTGTGTGTGTGTGTAGTGTTAGTCAGTCAGTCATTTTAGTGGTTTTTTTATAACCATAATATAAGTTTAACTTACTTTTTTTTGCGATGATATTACTACTACTAGTAGTAGTTTTATGGTAGTATGTATGCTATATGGCATCGGTATGATTATTATAAGTTGTGCCCAACAGTTATAACAATAGTTTAATGTATCGGAATAATTTTTAATCAGCAAAATAATACACACCATTGGTATGGACCATATGATGACCATATAAACCGCAAATTGTTTTCGCCATAAAAATCATCACTTAATATATCAATTGTATGGCAACGGTTGGCTGGTTTATAGCATATGTTACAACACAGATATTACATATATATATATATATATATTGGGAGAGACTATTGCCTCATCAGATACAGTATAGTACTGTATATACTGCATAATTGTAATGTTTTGTGGATGAGATAAAGTTTATATATATATATATATAATTTCTATACAATTGAAAAAATTTTCCAAATGTTAATAAAATGTGTAATCTCTGGCGTATTTAAGTGTCAAATCATGCATTTAAATACATAATAGAAATAATTTTACTAACATTTATATCCTATTTAAATATTATAATATGTATATATATATAATTTAAATATAAAGTTATTGTCACTTTTGTCAAATTGTGATAACTCATATCAAAAGCTAAATTTTAAAAATAGCTTTATTATTAATAATAATATATAATATTTATCATCAAAAATAATAAACTAATTAAATTATTTTATAACATATTTTATTATTTTATTTTTTTGTACAATAATTTATTTGTCAAAATTAAATACATTTAATTTATTGTATACAAAGTGATCATAAATTTTATTTTTTATTTTTTTAAATTGAAATCTATAATATTGTCATCAGTGGGTATAAGTCCTATAGGTTTTACCATTTGTTTCAATAAAATTTGTTCAATTATATCAATATTTAATTTAATTAAATTAAATTTAAATTAAACATATATATATATATATATAATTTGTATAAAATTTATTTTTTCAAAACACATTTAGTTATTTTATTTACATAATATTTACATTAGACATTTATGTACACATAAACTCATTAATTAAAATTTGGCAAAAAAATACATTTTGTGTATATATTTATTAATTAGTTTATATAGTATTGAATTGAAATTATAAATAAACTTTAAAAGCATGTTATTTTGAGCTAACATTTGAAAATATTTTTTAAAAATTTGTTGTTAGTAATGTGATATGGATTTAATGTTAATTTTTTAATAAGATTATATCAATTGATTTGAATTAATTTAATTACCGGTATATCTAATGGTAAAAAACTGTTTTTCATTTATAAATTACAATAATAAGGCATTTATAAAATAAATACAAATAAATATTATATATATATATATATACCAATAAACTATTATTTATTTGCCTTAATTTAATAGTAATAATAAAAATAATAATTCAAATATAACAAAAAAATACCAAATGATAACTTGCTTTTTCATTTGTTGTTGCAATCATACAATCAAATGATTGTGTTTTTATTTTATTATTTTTTTATAAAGCATTTGTCTTTTGAGGCTTAAGTGTCTTGAGATTCAAGAAAAAGGAAATCTCCCGAAACGTTGGCCGCGAACCGTCGTTTGTTTGCCAACAGTCTAGCATAAGGTTAAACAATTTGTCGGGACAGCCATCAGGTTTGGGCTGAGCCAATATACGTTGACTACTGTCCTCATTAAACGAGTGATAATAAATGTCTTTATAAGTGCACTCCTATTTTTTGGTGACAACAAATTTGGGATATATTATATATATATATATTGGTATATAAGCTTATGTTAAGTGATAGCATTTTATCAAAATTTATTACATGAGATAAAGTGATTATATGATGATATGATATCATATAATATATATATTATATATAATGACTTACATTATTGGATATTTGCTCGTAAACGGCGGCCACAGCCTTAAGGAAGGACTGATCATCTAAGGTGTGGAAAGGCTTTAGAGCGCAATAAGTCATGATTTCCCACAAAAGTACGCCAAACGAGTAGACGTCCGACTTTGTGGTGAACTGTCCGTGAATTAGTGACTCAGGACTCGCCCATCGGATGGCCATTCCGTTTACGTAATCGCATTGATTAGACGTATTGAAAGCGCCCGAATCGCCTACTTTAATGACCAGATTCCGTGTGTAGACCACTATATTACGGGCGGCCAGATCTTTGTGAACGAAACCCAATGTTTCCAAGTATTTCATACCCGACGCCACCTCACTGGCGATGTGGACCTGTGTTGAGTAACTGTATGTATGGGAGACATAAGATAGGGACAGTTGGCTTAGTTTGTTTAGTGAGGGTTGGCTGTTATGTACGTGTGTGTGAGTTTGAATATCATTTAAATATTATTAAAGTCTAATCACACAAAAACCAAAACTGTGTGTCGTTTCTGATAACAATCTGTTCCCTCACCACATCTCATATACAAACACACATAACTTTCCCATTTATCATAATATTATATATTATATTAATACACCAAATGTTAGTCAACTCATGATTTGCATTTGATTTATGATTTAATGAAAACAATATTTACTAAACGTTTTTCTCCATTTCATTGAGAAAATAATATTTTTATCGTTTATTTAATACTAAACTAAAAAAAATTACACCAAGTATTAAGTTAAGTGTCAATTAATTTAAATATGTAAACATACTATAATATAATATATTACTTTTTTAAATGAATTTTTTAATTAAGTGTCAAAAAATTATCAGAGCTTTAAAATGTAATTTACTGTAAATTTGTCAAAAAAAACAAAATTTTTAGTTAAAAACAAACCTCAATTGATTGCTATCACAGTTCCTCATATAGTGATTGAGATCACAGTCGCCGACCTCGAGAACCATTGCCGTAAAGTCCGGTTCCGATATATAGCCGAAGAGTTTGGCTATTCGTTCGCTTTTAGCCGATATAAACCACTTGGACTTCATTTCGTGATAAAAATCATTCTTCAACTTCTCGTTTCGCAGCGCTTTCAACACAACAAGTGTTTCATTGTCCGACTGGTCATCACTTTGCGATCGCATCCGTTGCTGATATTTACCGATCGATAGTTCACCGAATTTTGACGAACCAAATGGCGTACGAATCAAAACAATGTCCTCGTCGTTGATCTTCGGTATACACTTGAGATCGACAATCGTATCGTTAACACCGTTAGTATATTTGAAAGTCGATCCATTAGTTTTAATAAAGTTATTGTTTCGCAAAGTTTTCGGCGACTGTATATCAGATGAAGCGTAATGTTTTTGATGGCCAATCAATGGATTTTCTATCAAATGTTTTTGCTGTGGTTTTGGTGTCGATTTTGCCGATGATATTGTTTGCGGTATATTTGGCTTACCATTGGGTATGGATAGATTAGTTTGGGCCACATCGGGAACTGCATATTCTGGATCATTCAACGATGAGCTCCGGGATGGACACAAATCTTTGAGTTCACAATAAAGTGGAGTACGAGCTAAGTCCTAACGAAAAAATTTTATGTAATATATTTTTGGTATACACTATTGTAATGTTATTTCAATATATATATATTTATTTAATATATTTTTATCATTTATTATTATTATTATTATAATATAACTTACATTTTTTGAGTGAACCACTTCATGAACAATATGTCCCGTCTTATCCTTTCTTTTCATATGAAATCTAATGAAAACTATACTTCCAATGAAAATCAACGTAAATATGATACCAAATACTATCAATAAAATAGTTTCACTCATTAGTGATCGGTTGTTGTTTATGGCAGCCGTTGTTATTGGGATCAAGTTTTCCGAATATTCCAAGTGATGATAGCTTTCGGTAAAATTTTCCTCAATTTTTGACATTTTAAATGACACTTCACTAATGAGTAGCCATTTCTTAGCAAATTTGAGCTCAAATTTTACAAACTTTCCGATGCGATGATGCATATGAATGACTACATCCCTAGCCTTTTCAATCATATTGTCGGCCATATAGGAAAACTCTACCGGTTTTTTGGACCAAATTTTTCCATTAAAACTAAACCATATCTTTGCCGATGAAAACACTTCCATGTCTTGTGAGTATATATTATGGCTGTGAAAGCTGGCAGACGTAAAGTTTTCCATATCTTTGAATTCAAATATAATTTGTACAAAACTACTGATTTCTCCATCAGATTTCCAACCGATCCATTCGTAACCCTTATTAACCTTATAGTTGTCGTCACCTCTGATACCATCGACAAGTTGGCCGATACCACCGGTAAGATATCTATTGTTGTCTTGTCTGCCATCATATGTCATGTCAACCAAATCGCCAAACTTTCCTCTGTCTCCGTCAGGCATAGAATAGGCAATGGGAAGACTGTTTTGTTTGCAACCGTATAATTCAAGTCTCAGACATGTTGTCCTCTGATGACTAGCAAAGGGAACAATTCGGATGAGATTTATGCCAACCAATGGATGTGTCAATTGATGATTGACCACTGTATAGGTATCGGTATTTCCCGGAAATTTCTGTATGAAATTATTTTACAATATATTATATTTTTATTTAATAACTTTAATAATATTGTTGTACTAATGTTGTACTAGTGATAACATACATGATTGCCTGTATGATCGGTCCATTTATGCCAATTAGTGCCGTTATCTCTGGAATATTCAATCCACAATCCCTCAACATATTCAACACCGACACCATTACCGAACCGGCCCTGAATGGCAATACCGGTTACCACATATAAATCGCGTAGATTTACTTGAATCCATTCGGTACCCGATGTGGGCTCCGATAGCTGTGTTAGTGGACACCAGGCGCCACCCACTAACTCCCTGTTCAATCTATAGAAAAAATAGTTTATTAAATAACTATTTTTAAAAAGCAACTTTAATTGTCATAATTAGTAACTGCACATAAATAAAGTTGTTTAAAGGAAATGTCAAATAAATTGAGACAAACAAACTGACCGCGCATTCTGTGGTCCGACACTTCGTTGATTATATGAAGACGAGGCCGTAATGTCTTCATCAGGGATGACACCCGACTCCATTCCCAATGCTTTGGGACCACCCGTGTAATCGCATAAATCACTTTTCTTAATATCCACTATTGTATCATCTGTTTTTTGAAATGAAATTGGGATACAAAAAAAAATAGTATTTTGACATTAATAGTAATAAATATTAAATATAGTTGCCATATGTATAGCCAAATAATATTATATTGTATAAAAGTTTTATATTTGCCTGGTTTGAAACTTTGTGCAAATAATCTATATATTTATACTATTATAAGCCATTTGTGATTTAAATCATTTTTCCTTATTATGCATTATTATTACTATTATATTGACAATAGAAATATAGTACCAATTCATAGACTATTATTATTACTACTACAGTACTACTACTGATATAATAATAACTCTCTCACTCTATTTAACTAAATAACCAAAAAATTTTTTTTGTTGAATGAAAAAAAAGTAGTGGAGATTATATTAATAATAGTAATTCCTTTATTCAAACCATACATACAAAGTATATGTTGAAAGCTGTTTGCTATGAAAACTGGTATTTACATTACATTTAAAAAGATCGGCTACAATGCTGTCCAACAATAATTGTAGGGTTGGACACACATACACTAAAATTTGGATATAAACTCATATAACTAAAAATGTAAGAATGATATTCAATGTACAGTAATATATAATAATGCCTTTGAATAGGCTTTAAAATAGAGAGAACCTCCGAGAATGTCAATCATATATTAACTGAAAGTCTCAAACCCTATAGTTTGCCGGAACCATCAGCTCCGGTATGTCGTGTATGCGAAACCATATAATACAGTACAACATTGCATTGTAAGTGTTATTTTTCTTATTAATATTTGTGTCACAATCCTTTCACTGTATATTATTTATAAAAATGAATTCATTGTCGTTGAATCACCAAAAATAATAATAATTGTTTAACCAATTAAATATATAGCAATGTTTTTTTAAACAAAAAGTAAAAACTTGTCTAAAAATATGTATATTATGTACAGTAAATACTGTATACAATTTGAAAATTTATGCTTAAAATGTAATATTATAAATTTTAATGACAATATATATAAATCATAGAAATGTCAAAAAAATTTTGCTAAAATAAAATATGTTTTGAAACAATTGTTATGCCTGTCTGTCGAGTTAATTGCTAACAACAATAAGTCAGACAACTAGAGATTAAATAACAAACAAAATTTTCAATTTTTCATATGCCCTCACAAAATAAAAATTGTGTAACACAAAAATAAATTAAATGCAATAATAATAATATTATAAATAAGTTTTATTTCATATAAGACTTATTTGATTTTAAACAAAAATTCAAAGCACATAAAAAAATAAAGAGAGCGAGAATTGAAAAGTTAAATGCGATAATAGTTTCGTGATTTTCGGGACAATCAATATAAATACACTATTAATATAACTTATATAGTGTACGGCACCGGTAGGTATGCCAGCTGTATGTAAGTGTGCAGTAATATCCAGTGAATTATATAGATATGTATGTGTGTTTGTGGATTGCCTGAGGGGCACACAAATACAGATATTTTTTGTGGGAATATTTCTTTCAATTTTTTCTACTTTAGGAGTTACACTCTAGACATCAGGTGCTCTCTCTCTCTCTCTCTCTCTCTCTCTCTCTCTCTCTCTCTCTCTCTCTCTCTCTTGTATTCACTCTTTCACTTTTAAACAGTTCATTTGATTTAACTATTTTAAAAGTCAATCTATTAATATATGGCATCACCTTTTTTAAAGGAGACCTCCCTTCCCGTCTATACACCCGAAAACATATGTCAAAACTTATGAATTATAACTCCTTGTGTTTTGTTGTTATGGACTCTACAGTACTCTCCAACTATTGACAGCTCCGGCCTATTAAGTGTTTTCTAAGAGAGTATTAATACTGTGCTCTCGTTTTTAGTTATGTTTTCGAGAGATTGAATTGAAAAATAGTTTTTAGTCTATTTTTTTCAAAACAATTATCTCTATTTCTCGATTTCAGATTCAATAGAAATATAGCTAATAATATACACACAAAAAACTAAATGCACTTAAATATAGAGTACAGAAAATTGTTTACCAAAAAAACAATAATAAAAAAACAATTGCATTTAAGTATATAAAAAACTATTCATTAACAGTAAATTTATTTTATTGTTGTTATTTTTAATTTATTATAATTACACAAAACTAGAAAATCAAATAAGGTAGTGCCTAAATTATATATATATATATATATAGTGATATTTATTAATAAATGTTTTTTCTCTCTAAATGTAACATTGCAATTAGCAAATAATTTATTTGTAACATAAATAACAATTATATATTTATATAATAATATGTAATAACAATTTTCAAAACTGTTTACATAACTTGCATGTATACTATATATATACAGGTATTGTTAGTTATAATACTATGTTTTTTTAAAAAAGCATTACATGAAGAGATATGAGATACAAAAATAAAAATTTGATTTTTATAAAAATATTGAAATGCTTTTTTAGATTATAAGACATAAAAGTTTTCAAATAATTTGTAAAAGATTTTTGTGAAAATCTTCTTAAGGGAGTTAACAACAAATTTAATGCCAGTGTTTAGTGTTATAACTTATAACTTAAAATATAGTATAAATATATATAATATAAAGAAATAATAATAAGAATATACAAAACTCTTACAAAAATTTCAATAATAAATTTTATTAGGATTCAGTTATTCCCAATTGACATCAATTAAATGATTTACTTTTTTTTACTGTCAAGTATTTACTTTAATATTTACTTATATGATATCAGATATAGTAATACATAAGTATTTACAAATATATATAATAATGTTTAGCTATAGTAGTAAATTTATTATTTAGTTTATGTAATTATAACTAGATATGGGAATAAAGATTTAACATAATATAATAAGCATTTAAATTTAATTTTGTATTTAAATATATATATAATCTAATAATAAGAATAATAATAATAGAATTTTCTATTGATTTTGTAATTCTTAAACTTTTAACTACAATATAAAACATTATTTTATTTTATTTTCACATAAAAACTTAGTACTGTATTATCATTACAAATGGAGATCCCATTTGATTTATATATTTTCTCACAAACATTAAGTTAGATTTAATTCATTGATAATAAATAGGATAAATGTCTCCAACAATTGTGTGACCATAACTTAATTATATAATAAATAAGTATTTATTACTTAAACCCATAAGTTGTCTCTTATAAACTACTGTCTTATATATTTGCGTTTTAAACTACTCTCACCATAGACTGTATCACTACATTACCCCACATAAGACATAACACATATATTAACAAAAAATATTTGTTAAGACAAGGTTTACGATAAGTGAACGTATAGTACAGTATATGTGAGTTAAAGAGAGATTTTTTTTGTAATTCACATTTGAATAGATCTCAATGTAAAATATGCTCACATAATGACATTAAGAAATATTTAATGGCCCGTAGGCTAGGGATAGGGAGCTGCGGGTCTGGCAATGAGTAGCTATGATATGAGTTTGAGTAATAAGTTTGAGCTCCAGTAGGATAAGCAAAGAAACTGCCGATGAAAGTGAATATATATTATCTATAAAAAATTGAAATCATTTTAAAATCATTTTTATTTGCTAAATGTCATCTCATATATGTGTATTAAAATTTGATAATATATTTACTCTACTTTACTTTATAAGCAATAGTTTAAATATACTTAAGTGAAAACTTTTGTTGACAGCTATACTGTATATATCATATATATTCAAAACTGTTAAAAATCTGACATAAAACTGATTATATATTTTTTCTGAATTTATTTATAAATCAATTAAAAAATAAAAAATCTATTTTGCAATTCAATTAGAAATAAGACGATAATGAAGTTTAATTGAATGTAAACATTTGGACAGAAAATAAAATATATTTTTTTGTCGTTTGTTTAACATAAATATTGAAATGTTTAAACAAATATACGACAAATTGAATTCATATAAGATTTTAACTTTTATTTTTTTTCTATATTGTATTATATTATGTTTGCATAACATTATACAGTATTTTACAATATTCAAAAACGTTATTTCAATTAGCGGCTAATTGTATGATATGTCATCAAAAGTCATCAAAAAATAAATAAATAAAATATTTATAGAAAATATATATATATATAAATATAATAATAATGATAATATATATTATGAGTAAAGTTCAATGTATAATATGTACATAAATAGTTTCATAGCAATCATAATAATTATATGAAAGCTAATAATAATAATAATGAGTGTTAAAAAAGTGGTCATTAGATTACATACCGTTATGTCGTTTCGTAAATTCCAAGGTATCGACCAAATGGTTGGACACCAGATATAATTGAATAATCACTGCAAACAACCAGTATATGATCGGTGATTGCATTTTTGCTAAAGAGTCGACCTCTCAATCTGTATATATACTGTATATTGAAAAGAGACAAAAATATATATATAATAAGATTATATGAGTTGTCATTAATTTCAAAGGTTTGTCATACAATGCAATTGACATCTATAATGGCTTTAATATATTGAAAATAGTTTTCAGCACTACATTACTGTATATTGAGACAGAAAATGGGATGTAAATAGAGAAAAGCTAGTGAGTGAGCACAGGGAGTATAGAAAGTTTAATTATATAAAATGACTATATATTGTCTGTGCACTTGTTTTTACAATCGACAGACCCATTATTTGGTAGCTGTTTAAGGGGGCTAACAGTGCCAACAGTATATATATATATATATATATATATAATGTTAGAAAACAGTAACTATTGTAATAGATTTGTGTATAAATTACAAGCAGTCAAACACATTATGGGAACAGTTGTGTTGGTGTGTATGTACTGTATGTGTGTGTGTTATCGTTAGCCCTTTGGCTGATTAGTTGTATAATATAATGTGTTCATAAAATGTCTATATTTTGCATTATATATATATATAATACATTAGACACCAACTAAAAGTAAATCACTTCAATAACTATTTTTTTAATATTTATTTTGAGACATTAATCTTAATATATATATAGAAAAAATATGTGAAATATTTTGTCGACTGTAAGAGTTTTTTTCTATTTCACTATAAAAATATTACATTTTTTCCACTCAAAAAACAGTTTTAAAATCTATTTTTATTTAATATTCAATATCAGTTGAATGTGCTATAAACGGATCAATATTTAAATAAGAAAAACTAAAAGTAAAAAAAAAATAAAAAAAAGTTTGAAAAATAACATAAAAACGATTTTCACTATAAAACTCTTGTTTTCTCTCAAGTATATTGTTTGCAATATAATCTGCAATATAACTATTGATCCGACCATTGAATTCAAATTAGACATTGATTTTTTATTTTCTCAACCCTTGCCTATCATTCAATCATTGAATTGTCTAACATTTGAGTTTTGTTGCAATTGTTTTCAATTCAATTCCGGTTTGTTTTTTTTGTTGGTATTATTTTGAATGTCTTGGTCTGTGTATTCCCATTGGATTTATGCAATCATATGGGATCAGTTAGACTAAGACGACAGTGATATCCATAGAGCACCGGAATGTTTGGTACTCCAAGTGTTTGGCTGACATTGGATTCAATCACACAAAAAGCTAATCCAATAATTGATTGTCGAACTGTCACTAAACGGAAACTCCTTCTTAAAGAGACAGACATAGACTCACTCACTCATTCTCTCTCTCTCTCTCTCTCTCTCTCTCTCTCTCTCTCTTTCTCTCTCTTTCTCTCTCTCAATAAGATCAATGAGTAATTATTTTGCAATGTTTTTACTCTTACATATTATCTACCTATTTTGAGTTAAAATCTCTCTCTCTCTCTCTCTCTCTCTCTCTCTCTCTCTCTCTCTCTCTCTCTCTCTCTCTCTCTCTCTCTCTCTCTCTCTCTCTCTCTCTCTCTCTCTCTCTCTCTCTCTCTCTCTCTCTCTCTCTCTCTCTCTCTCTCTCTCTTAACATACACATAATTACTCAACAAATAATAATAACATAATCAAGAAAACAATATTTTTAAAACATTTAAATAAGTGTTATTCTAATGAATTATAACTTTAATATAAGTGTTGTTTAAAACATTAGAGAGATTTAAAAGAGCATCTCATATGTAAAACATATGCAAATATAAACAAACGGATGGATAGTATTAAGTTAAACAACACATTTTCATTAACAACATTTCAATACTGTTTGTTAACCCCTTTTGTTTCAAAACAAATTGAGTACATGACTGATGACACGAGTGGCTTAAACGATGGTTATTATTATATTAAAGAGGGATTCACTTAAAGAGATAACATAACACAGCAACGACAACATACCAGTGCACATGTCTCTCAGCTTATTTGGTATGTAATGATATAGGAAAAAGGGTGCAAACATTTTGCTGGATATATACCAATACTAACTAACTCACCTCAAAAACTTTAGTCTATAATTAAATTAATGGCAACAAACTATTTGTTGTGTGTAATCGTATTCAAATTGATGTATCACACGATTAACACAAAATACAATTATGATTACAGCAATCATTACTATTTTGTTGTTGTTTTATATTTTTGTTATATAAAAAACTCACAAATTAGTGTTAATTTTTTGTTTTTAACCTCTCTCTCTCTCTCTCTCTCTCTCTCTCTCTCTCTCTCTCTCTCATTCACTCACTCACTCACTCCTATATCTTTCCTATCATATCAAAATATTTTTGTATCTTATTTTTTCCAGGACTTCAATGATAATTTAAATTTTCTACATTTAAATTATCACTAATTTTCCTAAAAAATATTTATTTATATTTTAAGACATTAAAATTTTGTTATTATTATTATTTATTTCAGCAAATTTTTAATGTTTAGTCTCTCTCTCACACTATCTCTATCACACACACAAGTTATTTAATGTTATCATCAAAACCTTGAAAATGATAGCAAAAATTATCGTTTTTTACGATATAATCAAAAAATTATTATTTTTCTCATTTTTTTGAGACTAAAAAAAATTCTTGACTGAAAACATGAAATTAAAGTTTCAAACATACATTGAAATACATTAAATTTCAAAGACTTTATATATATATTATATAACCAGCTATTAATGTAATCCATGACTACTACTATTATATTAAAGAATTTAGTGTTGTTTTTGTTTTGTTTTATAATTTTATAAATAATTTATTTTAATTTTATTTATTAATTTTATATTTTTTTAATAAATTCTTTGTTGGGCTCTCCTCTCAAATCATGACTGACTAGTGAAGAGAGAGAGAGAGAGAGAGAGAGAGAGAGAGAGAGAGAGTAATGAGAGGGCAATAGCTAAAGGCATTAAACGTTTTATTATATAATATTTTGGTAATAAATTTTCTCTCACTCTGTGATATAAACTAAACCTACAATTGAAAATACAGCAAAAAAATATTAAATGTATGGAAAAAAAGTCAACATCTCATTCAATTCATATGTAAAATAATATTAATATATATTAAGCTTTTTAAAAAACCTAATAACTTGTATAACAAAAACATTTCAAATCCAATAAAATTGTAATAAAATATAAGTCAATGAGAGGCACAAATAAAAAAGATTTAATAACCATTTTTCAAGACTTTGATGATAGGGCTCACACTGTGTGTGGTGTCAGAGCTTATGTTGTAGGCGAGTGCCGGAGCACAGGGATGTAATTGTATATATACTGTATCTGAGTGTATGAGTGAGTGAATGATAGCCTCAACTGTGAACTAAATACAAAGTTTATATTTTAGGGCTCAATGTTTGCAAATGAATTCAATTATTTTTAAATATGATCCAAATTAAGGGTTTTTATATATGTGAACATAAATATAATAAAATAGTGTAATATTGTTATATAATAGGATGTCATGGTATCGCACGTGTATTAAAATTGGAGTTCAGAGGAGAGAGAGACCTACTGACAGTTTGGGCTAAAGCTTCTCAATCTCTCTATGACTGTGTCTGTAATGTCTGTCTTACATATTGACAATATGTGGGCACAGATGCGATACATACCGTATATACCATACAAAATAAAATGCATAATATTGACTGTGTTAGCAAAATGCATAAAAATTATACATAAAATATATTTTTACAAAATGTTTTTATACTGTATATCGCTAGTTAATACTCGCAAAATAGACGGCAAAACATTGGCAAATATTGCACAGCAGGAGGATTGGGATTATAGTCTTATTATATATATATATATATATATATATATATATATATATATATATATTTTTGAAGATTTTGTAGATCCCGTCACTACAACAACAACAATAGGAAAGTGCTGTACAACAACTCAAGTGACGGATTGCCATATAGTGGGAGAGAGAGAAACCTAAAAAAACATAATATTCCTAAAGATTTCACACATTTTTGTTGTGTATCACAAACACAGAAAATATGTTATAAATATAAACCTTTACAATGAATGATACTTCAAAATGTTTTTTATTACTATTGATATATCAATATAAGTCTCACTTTAATTCAGTTTTTATTTCAATTTCATTCATTCATTCATTTGATCTTTTTTCTTACAATTCTCTCTCTCTCTCTCTCTCTCTCTCTCTCTCTCTCTCTCTCTCTATCTATCTATCTATCTATCTATCTATCTCTCTCTCTTGTAATGTCATGTCATCAGACACTAAACAACTGATGACAACAACATTGTAAATATCATGACATAGAAAAATATTTACATTATTTAAAATTTTAAAACAAGATATAAATTGTGACATTAGCATGATATGCATTATATAAATGAAATATTTTTAGTTTAAAAGTATTATTTATTTTTATCTATTTATTTTTTTTGGTCATTACTATAATAGTATTAAAAAGCAAATTACTTTCACATTTTATTTTTGTGTTCAAATCCGGATATACAGGAAAAACTGATTATCATTTTTATGGAAAAAAAATACTTCACTTCTAAATAAACTTATAATAAATTCAATCAATGAATTTCAAACGTTAAGCCCAAACCAAACAACAAATAACAACAACAACAGCAACACCTCATCAACTGATCAAACAATATGATAGCTTATGTAATAGGATTTTATTGTATAAAAATATTATATTATAAAATATTTTTAATCAATAATTTTATTTTTCAATTTTATGTAAGCTAAATAAATTAATTTTATTATTATTAAAATTCACTTCTGTTAAGAAAATCAAATTAATTTTTAAAATAAATAAATATTTTAATATTTAAGTCAAACTATCATATAGTTTGACTTTGAAGTCAAATCCATGATATGTCTAATTTGTTAAAAATATTATATATATATATTATGTTTGAAGCTTATTATTATGTAAATTGAAAATAACAATAAATAAAAAAATAAATAAACATTTAAATTATTTGACAACTTAT